GAGAGAGAGAGAGAGAGAGAGAGAGAGAGAGAGAGAGAGAGAGAGAGAGAGAGAGAGAGAGAGGGCAACGAGGAAGGGGGACGGGCTAGGGGGAGAAGGGGGGAAGCTGAGGGTTGAAGGCGAAACGAAGGGGGGGGAGGGCGGGAGGGGAAGGGGGGGGAAGGGGGAAAGGGGGAAAGGGGGAAGAGGAATAAAGAGGGTGTATGGAGAATTGGTGAAAGGAGGAGAGAGAAGGAAAGACGAAGGCAGCATAGGACACTGGGGGGATAAAAAAAATTGATGAGGTAACTGCGACAGTATGGGTGGAGTGGAACCGGGAAGTGTTCGGGCGAGTTGCGCGGGGGCGGGGGGAAAGTGAAAGGTGCGAAATTGCACCACGTGGCTTCATGGCGCAATTCTTTTTCATTTTCTTTCTTTTTCCCGTTATTTATATGTTAATTGCAGAGGTCCACTTGTTTTATGTAATTTTCATAAAGTTAATTGCAGATTTGCCGTCCCTTTGTAAATAAGAAAGAGGCGCAGAGCTCCAAGAAACAAACAAATGCGATAAGCAATCCATTTGTGAATCATAAGAGGGGCACCAGGGTCGAGGCAACTTCGTTGCGAGTTCGAAAACAAAAGACAAAACCATAAAGACTCAGGATCCAACACCATCATACGAGACTGACTTCATGATTCGACCAAGTTCCAGAAACTTTATAAAACAATGCTAATTGATTATTTGAATTTGTGAAAACTCTATAAATAGAGAAATCAGAAGAAACATAACAAAACAAAAACAGATGGTTAAAACGAGAAAGTAAAGTGAAGTTAGTGAACAAAAAAAAGATAGGTCGTCGAAGTCTCTCCACGATTGACAGCATAATGGCATTGGTTTTCGTGTCAAAGGAGACTTTAAAAAAAAAAAATCCTTTCGAATTCTTTTTTCTTCTTCTATATACAGCAACCCCGTTCAGACGTAGCCTGGGGCCCAGAACTCAGCCCCAGGCAACGCAGACCTGAGTCGGTCTGCGCTGGGCTGTGTGACCACAACACGCCCAGGCCTGAGTCTGCTGCGTTTGGCTGTGAGACCAAACGCTGCACACTGGAAATTCAAGGGTCAAAGTCAACTGTAGAGTCGAAGGTACCGTGCCCAGGCCCTTGGTTGGATACACTCACTTGTTGTGCGCCGGTACCCAGACAGTATCCAGGCCGGAGAGAATTCGGTTTCAGACCAATCTGGGCCCTTGGTTGGATACACTCACTTGTTGTGCGCAGGTACCCAGACAGTATCCAGGCCAGAGGGCATTCGGTTTCAGACCAATCTGGGCCCTCGTTTGCATGAAGATCTGGACGGCTGAGGGATGCAGCATCCGGGGTCCAGACCCCGCGTCAACGCTACATAAGCGCTGACTTCCTGGCTTTGACATTCATTCTGTCTTGCATTGAGGCTGACTTCACGCGTTGACTTCAACGCTGGCTCGACGCTGCGACGTTGGCATTGTGACTTCGGCAACGCGCTGCTGGTCCAACATGGTGGCTGGCTTGCACCTGTCTTCTTGGCATGCTGACGTGGCAGCTGCCATGCGCTGTTGCTGATGTGGCCACTGCCACATGTATCATTGGCTGACGTGGCTACTGCCACGTGTTCTTCTGTTTGCTGACGAAGCGAGGCTACGTAACTTGTATTGCTGTTCTGATTATCGTCGTTCAGGAGGAGATCGGGACTGTGGAGAGTTCGTGGATACGTACCTGGCTGTCTTCATGTCGACATTGCCCCAGCGCTGATGTGGCACATTAAGGCTACTTCGGATACTCGTTCACACTATTAATTAGTGAGGTGGTAGTTGAGGAGGGAGCCCGAAGCAGGAGTGGGCATGGTACTTTCCTCTCCTTTGTCTCATCTCCCTCCTCTCTCTTCGTCTGTGTATGATTACTCATCTCATTCTGTCTGGTACGACTTTGACTATTGGTAACCATCAGCCGATGGACATTTATCTGGACTTGCATTGTTGACGACTGTCTTCACGATCTGGGTTCATTGAAATTTGGTATCGGAGCAGTTCTCCTGACGATGACGATTGTACACGTGTGCACGTGCCAGGTGGCACACAGGTAAGTGTAATGCACACGTGTCTTGAGTAGGTGATGACGTGGCAAGAGATACGTCGGGGGTGCTGACGTGGCACAGACTTCACTGGCGAGAAGACACTGCCGGATTTGCTGACGAGGTACAGACGTCACTGTCCAGAGGACATCCCTACGAGGCTGCTCATGTGGCAGTAGGGATCGTGACAAAGGATACCGCATGCCAGCCTGGATCGCGACACTGACGTGGCATAGTGATTCCCTGTTGATGTGGCATATGTTGTGCCTCGTCCGAAGACCTTGTTGCTGATGTGGCGCTTCTCATGCTGCTGATGTGCGACACGGGCTATTGCAGATGCTGACGTGGCCTTGAGGAGACAGGATTGAACGCTGACGTGGCAGGAAGCAAGTGACCACAACTGTCTTTGTGAGGTGGTGACTGCCTGCTGACGTGGCATTGGTCTCTTTGGCCAACGTGGCATGATCTGATTGGCTGGAACGGTGACGGTATCCCAATGTGACGCGTGGAAGTGGCACGTGGATAGGATCAGAGTACACATTTGCTGACGTGGCATCCCGCTATTGGTTGACTGAATGAAAGTGTTGACGTGGCAGGATCTGCTGTGTTGGCACTCCAGGGATGACACGTGGCAGGCAGGATTATTGCCAAGTAAGAGAAGCATTCTGAAGACGACGGCGATATAACTGACTGAACGACTATGCAGCTGTGGTGCCAGTTGTCCGGTGGAGTGCATCATCGCATTGACACCAGGAAGACAGACACAGCGGATTGAAGAAGGTTGCTGACAAACTGTTTGTTGTTGTTGTTGGCATACTTACCTTGTCGTTGTTGTGTTGTGGTGCTTGCGTACCTACTTGTGTGTTGTGTCTGATCACACGGGCCTGAAGTGGTACCTGTAGACTCATAGGACGTCATCACACAGACGAAAGAACAACAATTAGTATAAATAGAGATTTGTTCCTTCTTATTATTTATTTTTAGTTTTTTGTTCCATCATTGCGAATATAGTCTCAAATCTGATTTCCAAAATGTTTGGTGTGTGGAAATTACTCTTGTTTCTTTTTCCAATGACATTCTTAATCGGAGAAGGATCTTCCGAACCCAAGACTAGGAGACAGGCGGAAACAAAGAAACAAGAATTACTGGCTCTATGGAACCAGCTGTTGAATGATTTGCATCTGTCCGGACCGGACGCTGAACGACACGTTCGTAATCTGTTTGATTTATAGACGGTATAGGACCGTCTGAAGCAAGGAATTACGGCCGCGGAAGTTGTAGCTGTCGGTGCCAAAGTGTCTAAAATGATGGCCCAGTGCCAGAAAGCGCTGGACCAGTTTGCTATTAAGCAGTTGGAAGAAGTCATGGAGTCATCTAGGAAAGGGGAAATCAGACCAGAAGTGACCGAGGCTATGATTGACGCAAACATCCAGCAATTAAGAGAGGCGCTGACTGCGGAAGAAAGGAAGAAGGAAGAACTAGCTCGGAAACATGAACAGGAACTGAGAAGGGAACAAAAAGTGAATGAAATTAGACAAGTGATAGGAACAAAAGGGAAGGAACAGACTGACCTGACACAGACATTGTATCACATCATGACTTACCTCACCTTCTTGGAAGAGAAGATTGACAGACAGCAAAGCCAGTTAGATGAAATTGTTGTAGGATTGCAAACTGTCACAAACATTGTGAAAGGGAAGCATCCGGTAGAAAAAAAACAAGGAGAGGTTCAGGAAGACAAGAAACAAGTTAAAAAGTTGATGAGTGATGCAATGAAATCCGCTGATCCTCAGGATCAGAAGACGTCTAATGGAGGGGGATCAAGTCCACCATCTTCTCCACCGAACACTCCTTCTTCTCCTCCCTCCTCTCCACCTCCACAGCCTCCAGCTTCTCTGCAAGGTAAGGTAAGTACGGAACCGGTAAAGCTGAAAATGAAAGAAGAAGTGAAGATGAAATTGCCATTCACGTTTTGCAACAAGAGGGATGAGAACTTATTGCTCTGGATAGCGGAAATTCAGACATACTATAGCACGACCCCTGTTGAATCTGAGTCCCAGGTTGCTTTCTCTACCTCTTGTCTTGGGGGGGAAGCTAAGGAATGGGTATTGGTCGAAGCTAACGCTGCAGGGTTCGATGACATTGGCACATGGACTAGGACATTGACTCTGAAGCAGTTCCTTGGTAAAATCAATGAACACTTTTTGGACAAGACAACGACCGATAAGGCCTTTGACCAGCTCACCACCATTGGACAAAGACATTGGACCTCAATGGAAGCACTGTCCCGAGAGGTTGACCGGTTGCTGCAGGTTCCTGGATTGAACCTGCAAGACAACCAAGTCTTGTATATCTATTCCCGCGCTCTACCCGCGCCCATTCATGGACAACTCGTGGCAGAATCGAAATTCGGAAAGTACAATTATAGGCAGTTTCGCGATTTGGCTCTCCAGCGAGAGCAAATGACTTCACAGGTAAAGAATTCTTATGCCTCTGTAGTAAAGTATGGGGGTGGAGGAGGCGCAGGCGTAGGTAAGCGGGTACTCTGGCGCCAAAAGCGCTAGGACCACACCCTCGTCGTCTTTGACGACGATACTGTGGAGAAGTGGTCATTGGAGGCCGAGAGTGTGGTGAGCAACAATGATTCCGGGAAGGGGGAAGTCACTGCTGCCGTGGTCAACAAGGGAGGACCACGACCACCAGGAAAGGAGAAGAAGCCACGCTCGTTTTCCGAGCATCCCGGAATTGCGGCTGGGAGGCCATAGGAGAAGATGGGAATTACACAAGAATTGTGGCAGGAAAGAATGAACAATGCCCAATGTCTAAAGTGTGGTATCGCAGGGCACGTGATTGTCTGGTGCCCACTTATTCGGAACCCAAAAGCGAGCAGCCAGCAGGAGTAGCATCTGCTCCTACTGAGTTAAAGGGTTTGGATCCAGAAGAAGGTAAGGCGCCTACGATCCCTTCCAACCCTTTGACTCGCATGGCAGAGGATGGTTCTTCTTCGGCCCATCGTCCAGAACACCCTGAACCTGTCTTATGCACTGTCTCTCTGGACGACTGTCTTGACGAGCTTGGTAACGAGTTGTTGGCATTATGAAGCTTGTGGGCTAAGAAATCAAAGTCTAAGGGTGACCTACTACTCGTGGACGTAGAGATTGCACATACCCGTGCAAGTGCACTATTGGACTCAGGATCAACGCGATCCTACATATCCGGGAAAGCAATCCGCAAGTTGCATCTCGGAATGAAGGTAAAGAATCTGTCTCGACCAATCACGTTTATCCTAGCTAACAAAAGCACGATCACTGTCTCGCAATATGTTGATCGTGTCAAGTGTCGATTCCGTACCAAGGAAGGAAATAAATTGTTCACGAGGTTTCCTTTCTTGTAGAAAAGAAGTTACCTTTTGATTTGATTTTGGGAATCGACTGGCACGAGGAAGTCAACCCAGATATCAATTTCAAAGAGAAGATTGTGCAAGTGCGAGATGCACACTCTGAATTGAAACCTATCAAACTGTACCATAAGTCTGGCTCTGACTCTAGGCTGTCTTTCTGTTGTATGAGTTATCCAGCATTCCGATCGATGGTTTCAAATAAAAAATTGGAACAGGAAGTAATGATGGTTCTACTAAAGAAAGCAGGTGAATCTTCTACTTCCCATCCTCCTTCGACTGAAAAACTCCTAAGCGAGTATAAAGATTTATTTACTGAACCAGCAGGAATAACCGGACGTGCTATCAAGCACACAATTGAAATTATTCCTAGCAGTAAGATTCCCAAGGGCCCTATCTGATGAATGTCTCATAGGGAACTTGAGGAATTGCGAAAGCAACTGCAAGACTTAACAGAAAAAGGATGGATTCGCCCTAGCTCCTCTCCTTATGGTGCCCCTATCTTGTTTGTGCCCAAAAAGGAAGGTGAGTTGCGTCTCTGTATTGACTATAGAGGGTTGAATGTTGTCACTGTTAAGAATGTCGAACCTCTACCACAAATTACGACTTGCTAGACCAGTTGCAGGGCTGTAAGTTTTTTAGTAAGATTGAGCTGAAGTTAGGGTACCATCAGATTGAGGTGGAACCCACGGATCAACATAAGACCGCATTCTGAACAAGGTATGACCATTACGAGTTTGTGGTAATGCCCTTCGGACTTACTAATGCCCCAACGACCTTCCAAAGGTCTATGAATGAACTCTTTCGTCAATGGTTAAACAAGTTCGTAATTGTATATCTCGATGATATTCTAATGTACAGTAAGACACTAGAAGATCATGAGAAGCACCTTCGTCTGGTGCTAGGGAAGTTGCGAGAGGGCAACTTCAAGATTAATCCCAAGAAGTCTGAGTTTGCTAAGTCTGAAGTGTTATACTTAGGACACATAGTGAACGAAGAAGGTCTAATGCCGAAAGAGAAAAAGATTTCACCAATTAGAGATTGGCCACAACCTAAGTCTATAACTCAATTGCGATCTTTCCTTGGTTTAGCCAGTTACTACAGGAAGTTTGTTAGGAACTTCTCACTGATTGCTGCACCAACGCAAAGATTGTTAAAGAAAGAAACTATTTGGTTGTGGGATAAGGATTGTGAGTCTTCCTTTCGGAAATTGAAGTATGCACTAACTCACTACCTTGTCCTTAAGATTGTTGACCTGTCCTTGCCTTTCGTTGTTACCACTGACGCAAGTCAGTATGGGATTGGCGTTGTTCTCCAACAGGATGATGGCAAGGGTCATAGGCCCATAGAGTTTATGTCTACACGATTGCCGTCAGAGAAGGTTGCAAACTCCACCTACGAACGGGAACTTTATGCCTTAGTCTGTGCGTTGGATACGTGGAGACACTACCTGCTAGGAAGGCACTTTACTGGGTATTCAGACCACTCAACACTACAGTGGATAAAAACACAGTCTAGACTCTCTAACAAGTTGGTAAGATGGTCTGCCTTCATCGACACCTTTAACTTTGAGCTCAAAACTATCAAAGGAAAGTCAAATGTGGTTGCAGATGCTTTATCCCGCCGCAGTGATTTTTTTGGTGCAATTGTCTCTTACTTGGATGTTGGGAATAACCTAAAAGACCAGATTCGCCAAGGATATGCTACTGATCCTATCTGGAAACCAATCATGAATATCCTTGTACGAGATCCGTCCCAACTACCCAACTACAGACTGACTGATGGGTTGTTGTTCTTGATTGACCAAACCAAGCAGAGATTGTGTATACCTCATAAGGAAGAAATTAAGAGTCTGCTGATTGGGGAATGTCACGATTCTGAGGGTCATTTTGGTTTCAAGAAAACATATGCTGAAGTCAGAGAACGTTTCGAATGGAAGGGACATAAAGAAGATGTACTAACATATGTTCGTACATGTTTAATGTGTCAGAGAAACAAGTCGTCGCATTAGAATCCCCTTGGACTTCTCAAGCCATTACCTATACCAAGTGAACCAGGTGAGTCTCAATTGACTTCATGAGTCTGGTTAAAAGTCGCAATGGTAACAGTCAAGTGATGGTAATTGTGGACCGTTTCTCTAAATACGTTATGTTTGTTCCCTTACCAGCAGAAGCGCGTACTGAACTTGTCATTCAGAAATTTCAGATGCGATGGCTCACTGAGTATGGATTCCCTAAATCCATTGTGTCTAATCGAGATGTCAGATTCACTAGTCTGCCATGGCAAAAGCTGATGGAAGCTTATGGCACGCGGCTGACCATGTCGTCAGGGAACTATCCCGAAACGAATGGCCAGATTGAACAGATGAACCGTCTGTGCCAGCAGCTTTTGCGTATGTATGTTAGACCCGATCAAATTGATTGGGACGAGAACTTACCCAAAATTGCAAGTGCATATAACAACAGTGTCCATACTTCCACTGGACGAACCCCGAATGCACTTCACAAAGGGTGGAAACCTAAACGTCCTATTGATGTACTAAACCGGGACCAGTTCCTTCGGTTGCCCCAAGGGACCCGAGAATATGCAATATTGTTCGAGGAGGACATTCAGAAAGTTAAAGATAATCTAAGGAAAGCTCAACTACGAATGATTGAACAAGCCAACAAGCACCGTCAACCGTCTACATTTAAAGAGGGTGATCTAGTTTGGGTAAAATCTGAAGAGTTTTCACTAGAGAAAGATGTGTCCCAGAAATTGCTTCCCGTCTATTTTGGACCCTGGGAAGTTCTCAAAGTAATTGGAGATGCAGAGGGACTGTCTTATCGCATTGATATCCCCCCACATCTCAAAACATATCTTGTCTTTCACGCGTCCAAACGGTTACCTTATATAGAAGGGAATGAATTTCCTAACAGACCCTCTATGATTCCACCATCTATGGAAGGCAGATATGAAGTAGATAGAATCATAGAGCATGGATACTTCTCTACGGGAGCACGAGGACGACCTCAGAAGCAGTTCAAGGTACGTTTCAAGTCTCAGGCACCATCTGAGGCCAGATGGTTTAGTAAAATAGAACTACTTGAAACTGCTCATGATATTGTCGCTGCTTATGAACGAGGGTTAAAGTCTTAAATATTTCTGCGGTGGAACTCGAAAATGGGCCGGCAGGAATGCAGCGACCCCGTCTGGGGCCCAGAACTCAGCCCCAGGCAACGCAGACCTGAGTCGGTCTGCGCTGGGCTGTGTGACCACGACACGCCCAGGCCTGAGTCTGCTGCGTTTGGCTGTGAGACCAAACGCTGCACACTGGAAATTCAAGGGTCAAAGTCAACTTTAGAGTCAAAGGTACCGCGCTCAGACCCTTGGTTGGATACACTCACTTGTTGTGCGCAGGTACCCAGACAGTATCCAGGCCGGAGAGAATTCGGTTTCAGACCAATCTGGGCCCTCGTTTGCATGAAGATCTGGACGGCTGAGGGATGCAGCATCCGGGTCCAGCATGGTGGCTGGCTTGCACCTGTCTTCTTGGCATGCTGACGTGGCAGCTGCCATGCGCTGTCGCTGATGTGGCCGCTGCGACGTGTATCATTGGCTGACGTGGCTGCTGCCACGTGTTCTTCTGTTTGCTGACGAAGTGAGGCTACGTAACTTGTATTGCTGTTCTGATTATCGTCGTTCAGGAGGAGATCGGGACTGTGGAGAGTTCGTGGATACGTACCTGGCTGTCTTCGTGTCGACATTGCTCCAGCGCTGATGTGGCACATTGAGGCTACTTCGGATACTCGTTCAGACTATTAATTATTGAGGTGGTAGCCGAGGAGGGAGCCCGAAGCAGGAGTGGGCATGGTACTTTCCTCTCCTTTGTCTCATCTCCCTCCTCTCTCTTCGTCTGTGTATGATTACTCATCTCATTCTGTCTGGTTACGATTTTGACTATTGGTAATCATCAGCCAATGGACATTTATCTGGACTTGCATTGTTCACGACTGTCTTCACGATCTGGGTTCATTGCATATATTTGTTAATTTTGTTTCCCACCTTTTTTTCCCTTTTTAATTATTTCTTCTTCTTTTGTTTCCTTTTAAACCACCAGTTCACACAAGCCTAAGTTGACTAAGCTACCTTCCAAGTCACACAAGCCTGCAACTGTGCTTTTCAAAGGGGCCTGCCGCTTTCGCTACCGGGGCAGCCCCGAATCGAAATGCTATTGCCGCGTATACCAGTAAGAGCACTACTTAGGTTTGCAGGACGTGGTGAAAAAAAAAAAAAAAGGGCGATGGCCTTGGGATATCTTCGTTGATCTGACCGACCCTAGGGTAATTCGGTTCATCGAAGTTCTCAGGATTCGAACTCACATCTGTTTTTCAACAGCTCGTGGGTGTATGAACTGAGCTAGGCTCGTTTGTTATATTTTCCTTCT